AGTACATTGCTCAAGAGAAAGGAGTAGGGCAGCTTGGAAAATAATTGAGGAGGTAAATTAAAAGTTTGTGGATAAAGTATTCTCGATTGCTGTAATATGAAATTCTTTAATTTGACAAGGAACAATGAGAACATTCTCCCTTGACTGCAGCATTTGATGCCATTTGTGGAGAAAGAACAATATCAACTTTCAAGTAGATGTAAGCTCCATCCTGACAACCACTTGTATAGAGATCAAGAACAGCACAAACACCATGTAGACATAAATGAATGGCAATGTGGGTACTGTAGGAAGACTTTCTATGAAGAGAAATTCCTTGACAAGCATTTTGACAACAGACATTATGATCTGCTGAACATGGTATGTCTGCAGCTGGTGGATTTTTTTTCTCGGTGAAAGACATATCTTAATTGAATTCTTAAGTACTTATCATCTATAGTATTAACAGTTTAATACCTTGTCCAATTATTCTATAGATGTTTTGTATACAATTTTTTTATGCTTTTGCAGACTCAGTCTGGGTTCTTGATTTCTTGTCACTCTAGTGTCTCTTAATGTTTTCTTTTACACTTGAGTTTATACCCATGCCTTCTGTTTATGGCTACGATCTGAAATCTCTGTCCCTAAAAATGAAAGGAAAAAATGAGAAGCTTGTCTACTTGTGACCTTGGCATTAATCAATTTTGCAGTTTAAATGATTTTTGAGTCATGGCTTCCTTGTTCTGAATCCAGAGTCGCAGCAGGTGCTTGGCAGACTTATGCGGTGCATTACATTGTGACCTTGTAATGGATTCTATGCCTCGGAAAACTAAGTGCAATCCTGCTGCTGCCGCAAGGAACAAACATCTATGTGAGGTACCTGTGACTACTTTATGATCTTATGTTTTCCTGCATTTATTTAGCCACTAATTCGATGCCTCTGTTGCAGAGTCTAGCTGATAGTTGTTTTCCAGTCTCTGAAGGTCCTTCAGCAAGCCGTCTTCATGGTAATTTCTGCACTTCTTTTCCATTTACAGGTACATTTTGAAATTTCTTTTTCCAGCTTGTAACATTGCTTTATGGTGTCTTGAAATTCATAGAATTCTTCCTCCGCCAATTCTGCGACACCCACACTTGTTCTGGAGGTCAGAAACCCTTTTCTAATGGGTACAAGGTAAGGCTCATGATGGCCATCCTTGCTTCATATTTTCCTTTTCCTGACATTTCCTGACAAATATATATATATATATATATATATGAAAAACCATAACAGTAACAAAAAAGATCCAGTTATGTGAAAAACTGGTTTCTAAATGAAGCAATTTGAACCTTACCGCATTGGATTCAAAATTTATATTGCATACAGTTGCATTTATCTGTTTGATCAAGATGCTAGCATGCTTATGGCGTTGTTTTTTATTGGGTTCATGGAAGTCAAGCTTTTATGTTGCCTACTTTTTCATTGTTTCTGTTTAATCATGTTCTCATTGTTTGGCTTGTGCAGAAGAAAAAGACAAGTATTTTCTACATTTCCATTTCCATTTTGACATTGCTGCTGCTGCCACTTTTCTACATTTTTGTGTACTTGTACCGAAGGTAACTATTCTTCTGAACTCTCTTTTGACAGGCTTTTTAATTTTTACCTTCTTATGCAGCATTATCTTAACTTTTGATACTTATGTTGCAGAGGAATTAAAAAGGGTTCCCAAGAGTTAAGACGCATCCCAAAAATTGGACAAAAAAAATCATTCTAGTTGGTTGTCAAGTTTTATACCACCAGTCATGATCTAAGGTTCAGTTTGCATTGCATGTGATTTCTCAGAGAAAGAGATTGCAAAGGAAGCAGGAGAGAGGTAAATACTGTTTTGCCATGTCATATATGTCATCTGTGGACACTTTTAATGCAGAGGAATAGGAACAATTGAACTAGAATCTTCTTCGAGATATGATGTACCATTCATTTGACTAAGATAGATTATAATCTGAATGTACTTGGAACACCATAACAGGCACTACCGCAATGAAAGAATATATCATTACTTGGAAAAGTTATCTTCTGTATTTTCTTTTTCTTGTTTCTGGAAATTCTATCACAAAAGAAGCTACGATTAGGCTCAGAGAAAGAAACTTTATGTTGTATATAATACCATAACTTTACAAGGATGCTACCGTACGTCAATGCCTATTATTTTGCTGCCAACACTGGCTTTTGGAACTGTAATATACAGAACCCCATCTTTGACCTCTGCCTTGATCTTCTCAAACTCAACCTTATCTGGTAATGCAATTCTACTGCTGTACCTACCATAGCTCTTAGCCAGCCACTCTTCCTCCTCGGATACGGTTCCATTGACATTCTCTTGACCATCTCTGCTGTTGGGAACCTTCTCTGCCTTGACCACAAGCATGTTCTCCTCAACCCATACCTTCACATCATTCTTGGTCATACCGGGCATGTCAAACCTCATCTTGTAGTCCATTTCCCTCTCCTCTATTGCCCAAGGTGTTCTTCCCTTACCATATCCATTTCTCACCCCTTCAGAGGCCAGAGGCAAAGCGCTGTTATAAGCAAAAGGATCCTCCATCATCCTCTCCATTGTGTCCATCATCTGCTGAACTGTCCTCGCAGTTGGAAACCTGTTCCATAGTCCTGTAGAAGAAAATTCAATGTCAGCTGCAAAGATTAGACTAAATTCCTTCAAACAAGATGAAAAGGCAAACTTATTTCTTCATTACCTGTAGATGCAATATCCGGTCTTCTTTTTGGCTGGGATTGCCTCTGCTGGTTATGGCTCACCCTTTGCAAGTCATCAAGACTCTCTCTTCTCTCTGCCACGGCTTTCACCCTGGCGGGGAGAGCATTACGAGTTCTCACCGTGGTGGGAAATCGAGGATAAGAAAAACTAGTCACTCTCTCGGATGAAAGAGGAGTGGAGATACCGTTTAAATGCAAAGCCATCTTTGTCTTGGAAACTATAGGTATTTGAAATGCCACTTATGTAGCCCAGCAACAGGATTTACTATAGTGCCAATTGATGTGCATCCATGAATTTATAGGCCTGACCGAATTTTCTGGATTTGGATATTTCAACAACGTGAGGTAGCACCAGGACAGGACAAGTTGTTGTCTTGTCTCTGGTCTCCAATGTTCTAGACTGCTCTACACAATTTTCCATGGGAGCTTCTTCTATCACGATGTTGGACTAGATGAAATAAAAGTCTCAAGATGTCCTTTTCCTAGTTTTCTTGAACCTTCCACCCGAAAAAAGGACTTTCTTGAACCTCTTTTTCATTTGGATCTTAATCCGTGGGCGTCCGGAAAATTGGGCCATTTCTTAATCCTTTTTGTCTGACTTAGTCTTACATTACAGAAACATCAAACAACAACGCAACTAAAAATTAAGAAAATAAATTTTTATTAACTATTTAAATAATTTAGTGATCATTTTTTTTTGCTGAAAATATAAAATCCTGAATTTAAATTGCATTACATGCAAATGTAGTGAAATACAAAATGAGAAATGATTATCTCATATTATATAATCAAGATAAAAAAAAAAATTCGGCACATAATTAAGAAAATGAATTGTACTACCCCCCTCCACCCCAAAAAAGAAAGAAAAAGAAAAAAACTTGGAGAACAAATTGCATTGCATTCTTGTCCTATATTATACTCCCTCAGAATTTCAGTGGTGAACAGATGACTTGCGATTGCAACTAAACTACCTTGATGCCCCATAAACAGAAACAGTACTTGAGTCATCCTTTAAAGACACAAGGCTCGCTGCGTAAGTCTGTGCCATGGAAGAACATATCGGGATAATCAGAACAAAGTTAGACTCATTTTCTTTTAGTTGGATCCCGGCTGAGTCCATGCTTCTTCAGTGTTTTGATATAGTTCCGCATGAGCGTGAACTTGTTGGTCCCCAGATGATAAAAATAGTCCCAAGAATAGATCCCAGTTTTATGCAAGTCATCAAAAGCTAGCCTGAAGAATCCACCCAAAGAGAGAGCGTGATGAAATAAACAGCAAATGTATTGTATAATTATGTAGCTTTATGAATGGATTTAAGAAGGTCAAATGCAGAGCTTAAATTCCAAGGTTGAAGCTACCTTACCCCATAATTCCCCACTGGTTCTGCAGACATTATCCCCACGTGGCGTCTGCCAAATATCACCTGATTAAGCAATCAAAAATAAAGGACCAATTCATGGAACATGAAGTACAAATGCATGAAAATATAGTCTGACATTATTTCAATTGGTCATTTAAAAATGAGTCAGTATATCTCAAGAAGGATAGAAGAAGAAGAAAGGTCAGTGCAATATGGAAAGAAATAGCGCCAAAAAGAAAACAACATTCTGGAATAGTGCTCATCAAAAAGAAGAAAAAAACAGTCATGATAATTACCTTCTCACCTCCAACTGAACGAATCTTGCCATCTGCAGCAGGGCTATAAACTCTCAAAAATTCAGCTGACAAATTAAACTTGCTACCATTGGCAAATTCTACCTCTACCTGAAACAAAGAAGGTCTAAGGTAACAAACTTATACTCTAAACCAATGGTAGATAAAAGGTTAAAACATGTTTAGCAGAGAAACAACATATAATACATCAGTCTTCAAACTTCACCAGAAGCAGTGATGGCACAATAAATCATGTCATGCATTCTGCTTCAAACAGAAACCATTTTATCCATAGAATCCTACAACCTGCTAGTGATCCTATCCGGGTTCCTCAGTTTCAAGCTTTTAGATTCAACCGAAACTATCATCTAATTGTCTATCAAACCATGAAATTGGACAAAGCAACCCTCTAGCATGCTTAGACAAGCCACTTCACAAGTTCAGCTGCAAGAAATTACAACCACCCAAACCCACTATAACTGTATAAGACAGAATGAATAAGCTCAAAAGTATGCACCGGACAAAGTGAAACACTTTCCTAATCATAAAGATCCAAACTTTACAAAAATGCAACTTCCAGAAACAAGAAATTTTGCTAAAGGATCGAACTTAGTTTCAAACATAGACTTAAATCACAAGGGCAATCAAAAACCCCATCTGGGTACACCATTTACTGACTAAAACAACACAACATAGGATCAAAACAAGAAACCCAAATCCAGAAATTACTGAAAGAACTCGAAGCAACATGAGAACAAAACTAAACCCACGATTCAGAAGCTGATACAAAAAAGAACTTACAGTCTTGGGTGGGTTAAGATAGAATCTTGTGAGGCGTGGAGCATCGGCGATGGTGTGTATCCTCTGAATTGCTCGATGCAGAGCCGACATTGTTGTGTTGGTCTTCTTCTGTCTTCAGAGAGACACTCTGCTAACGGTTCTGTTTATGGTTAAAATAATTGGGCTTTATGGTCCACTAACAATTGGGTCCGATGCTGGCTTTTCAAGAAATTGATTGGGATTTATGGTCCATTAATAATTGGGTAAGATGCTGGATGTTCAAGAGCCCAATTATTTGGGCCCAAATAAGCCTTGTTTTCCTAGAAAATACATTTTATCCATTTATTTATTTATTTTTTTGAACAGTTTTGTCATGGGGCGGGTTTGAAATCTGCCCAGAGGAGGGGGATGTGCACTTTTTAGTGACTTTAGCCACTGGGCCACACGGGCCAAGTGCCATTTTATCCATTTATTAAAAGGCCAATAATCAAAGGAAAGAATAACGTACGATTTAAATTGTATATGTTAACTATTAGATAAAGGTTAAATCTATGGTATTGAAGATTTTTTCCTATTTAATAATTTTATTTTATAGTTTAAATTACATTAAATTACAAAACAATCTTATAATCAAAATTTACGTAACCTCGATAAATTAGTTCTCCAAATATAGAAGGTCAAGCCTTTTGGTATCAATTCTAATAATTAGAAAGGGGGAATAATTAAGTGGTCTTATAATAATTTATCTATATTTATAGTGTAAGTAAAAACTTTTGATTTTAAATTACATGATATATGAATAAAATATGTTAATATAGAAAAATATTATTTTTTATTTTGCAACTCAAAAATAAAAATAATTTGATCCCTCAACTATTGTACAGATCTCGATTTGGTCTCTAAACTAAACAAATCTCTAATTTGGTCCTTACTGTTCATCAATTTAACCCTAAATTGATCCTTCCATTAAAAAATAACTGACGTCTGTTACTTAACAACAGAAAATCATTACTTAACGACTACATGTTATGTTAACAATGAGACACGTCATCTGTTTTTATACGAAAAGATCAATTTAAGACTAAATTAGCAAACAATAAGGACCAATTCAAGTATTTTTTTAGTTTAAAGACCAAATTAGGGGGTTCATATAATAGTTGAGGGTCCAAATTATAAATTTAACCATAAATAAATAATAACAATAATAAAAGAAAAAGAAAACACCTTACGTGATTAACATGTACCATCTTCTTCCAAAGCTCCAGCTCCCATATACAAATCATTATCCTCCATGATGCCCAAGATCTATGTCATCCATGACGGCATGCACTATTTACCAACCTCCTGTTGATTTTGGGGAATAAAATTGATGCTTTTTGGCCCATCAAATTTGACTGGCAAGATCACATTTCACACCGTCTGATTGGAACGCTTGTTCTCTTCGGTGGGGGTTGGTAGGTAAGGTCCATGGAGATTAAGTTCAACAGTTCTTTATAAACAACTTGTATTTTTGCAATGACTTTCTGCCTCAATTAAAGAACTCAAATTCGTTCCCTTGTTCAACAAACCCTATAGCTACATTTTAAATTTTTGTGCCAATTTCAATCCTGTTATATTAAAAGCTATCACGGGTCTGATTTTTGAACTCAAAATATATCTTTTTTTTTTTTTTTGATATTGATTACATAATAAGAGATAATCATCTTTTATTTTTTACTCCATCTTACTCGTATATCATGTGATTTGAACTCAAAACTTTTTATATTTAATGAAAAGAAATAATCACTGAATTACTTAAATCATTAGTCAAAATATATTACTTATTTAAATTTTTTTTAAAAAAAAATTATCTGAATTCGAATTACATAATAATTTTTAAGAAAGAATTTCGAATTCAATCTTGATTTATTTTCAACCTAAAAAATGCCTTCCTTTTTTTAATTCTCTCAAGTTATAGCTTTTTTATTTCTCGTTATGAAAGGGATATACTTTTTCCTGGACAAGATTATGGTGTTCTGTCCCACAGAAATGCATGTACTAACTAGAGTAATATACAACTCAAGAGAATCCACTAATCTTCAGTGCTAAGCACGAGCAGCAGCCTCAAAAAAAATTCCACGCCACAAAATTAATCAATATTTAACTAACTAATATAATTTATAACTAAAAAATACGAACAAAAAGATATATATTTATATATATAGCTAAAACACGGTCGATTAGGTAATAAGAAGATTTCCTTTACTTTTAATTAATTTTTATTTGATTCTTTTAATAAGTTATTGAAAAAGTAATTTATCATAAATTTTTTACAACTATATCATATATGATACTCTTTATAAAAAGAGTCAAGATAAATCAGCGTAATTAAATGAAAAACAATATGATAGAAGTACAAATTTTTCAAAGATTGAATACAAAGCAATAAGCAGAGATAAAAGAGAGAAGAAGCTTTTAGTGTTTAATTCGATTGCACTTAATCACAATCATAATGTGATATCTTTTTCTAAAGATTTTATTTCTCAACAATGCAGAAAAGGGTATGTTCGGAAAGTTGATCAAGCTATTTTCCCAAGAGGAAAATGTTTTCTTCAGCTAGTTGATTGAAGCAGTCCCAAGAGAGGAAAGAATCCACACTTTCAACCCATTGTTGCAGAGGGTCCTGTTGAATTGAAGGAAATTGATCATCCATTGTTGAAGGGTTGTTCGAGTTCGATTCTTCAAGGGAAAATGAAGAAGTGTGAGAAGAACAAGTGTTTGTTTCTTGTTCCAACCATTGCTCCAAATCAAAATTCCCACCCAGCATCATCTCAAAGTTGCTTAAAAGATCATTGGTTTCATCCAAGTTTGGTTCTTGAATTTCCTGTTTCTTGCCTTGGTCATCCTGTGCCTTGACCTCCAAGCTCTCTTCTTTGCTAGAAGAATTCAACTCAACCTTATTCCCTTTTTCCTCTGCTTGTTCTATAGGCTTGTGTGTTACAGGGTCTATTCCAAGCAACTTTAGCTTCTTCTTGATTCTTGTATTCCAATGGTTCTTGATTTCATTATCCGTTCGACCAGGAAAATGTGATGCTATCTTAGACCACCTACAGATTATTATTATTTTTTTTTCCCTCCAAGTCAGTACATCAGTACCATATTGAACTATATAAATTATGACATTGTTTCATGATGTTTTTGACAATCTAAACAGTGAAGAGAAGGCTAGATTACCTGTTTCCTAATTGCGCGTGAAGCTGAATGATCTGATCCTCCTCTGTTTCTGAAAAACCACCTCTCTTAAGGTCAGGTCTAAGATAATTAATCCATCTTAATCTGCAGCTCTTCCCACACCTCAGAAGCCCTGCATCAAACACATGGTTGATCACTAACATTTTCAAGTCACACAATTAAACACAACAAGAGTAGAGTAGATCATTTCAAGAATTAATGTAGGCAATTGATCATTAATTACCAGCAAGCTTTGGAACAGTTCTCCAGCAATGAATACCATTGTTGAGGATAAAATTCATGAGCTTATGATCCTCCTCGATTGTCCATGGACCTCGTTTCAATCCAACCTTGTCACAACATGGCTTTCTTCCCATTTTGTGAGAAGTAAAATCTGAGTAAAGAAACTAGAACAATCCAAACTCAAGAAAGTTTAGAGACTTAAAAGTTCTCAAAAGGGTGGCAGAAAAAGAAATTTATAGCTCAAGGGGTGAGGCAAAAGATGCTACTGCCAGTTCATCCAGGCATTTAATAAAAGGAAGGATGCTGTTTTAGAGGGGAGATTCATGATTGAGTAGAAGAAGCATGAAGGGTGTGTGGAATAATAAATGGTGACTAAACCCCTTATTCAATAGAAAAGCATGAAGGGTATGTCCTTCTTAACTGTTTTTTCATGGAACAAAAGTCTTCCTTTTGAATTTGTGTAAAGCCAAAAAAGGGAAAGGGAAAGGGAAAATAATAAGAGTTGATGGAATTGAGATTCCTTTCCATCCTTGGTCCCAGCTGGCCAGTTTTGTCCTTGGGAACAACTCGTTTTTTTGGGAGATGCCTTCACTAGAATATAGAAGCATACTCAAATTCCAGCCATTTATTTAGATTTTTTTTTTGGTTTTGGACATGGCCCATGAGCCATGAATTCACATGAAGTAAGAAAAACTTGACCAGTCAAAGTAAATTAGGAGACATTATAATATCTCAAATCACTTTATATGCATTCATAACAAAAAAATCGATTGATCTAATTTTTAAAACAGTTTATTATTATTATTTTTTTTTGTTATAGAAATTATAATATTAGGTCATTTTGACTTTTTTAAAATCTAAAACTATGACTTGGTAACTCCAGATTATGAAATAGAGCTTTAAAAAATAAAAACTCTAGTCATAAGGTCAAACCAACTCTAGTTTTACCCCTCAAGTCTCACCCACTCAAGGGAGAAATTAGTTTAGGTTATTACATTATTAAGATTGAAAATCGCATCAATATTGTGAATGCATGAAATTCACTTGTCTTCTGGTTCTTGATTGCTTTCATGAAAAAGACCTTGTCAATTTTATTCCATAACAACTCAGTTGTATTAACAGTTGTCAAGTTTAATTAGCTCAATTGTGTTACCAAATCTTTTTCCTTTATTTTTTTAATTTTTGGATAAGCATGGTACCAAATCTATTTGACCAAAAATTATTCCATGATAATGTTTGTCTTCTGCAGGAGATACAGCAGTAACAGCAATGGCACAATGTTCTTCAGAGCTACTCAAGTGCAAGTCATGACTTAGAAAACAAAAGGGGAAAAAAAAAACCCTTTATTTTCTCTCCCTTAATACTCACTCCAAGAGAATTATAAAACAGAAATATTTTTTTTTAGATTGGATTGCACTTTAAAATATCAGTTTGGAGTAAGATTTCACCCCCAAAAAAAAAAAAATTCTCATTATAAAACCTCATTGATTTAATTAAAAGTTGAACAATTTTTCTTACATAGGAGGATAGATGAAAAAGGAAAAAAAGGATAAAATAAAATAAAGAGAAGGGAAGAATTGCAATCATTTTCGTTCTTCCAGGGTGTTTATGAATGTATAGAGAAGATGGATGGTATTATACTATTATCTATAATACCCAATAATTAATGCTAGATTTGTTGGGTTTTGGGAAAGCAATAATCTTTGCTAGCAAAGCTTATATTCCACTCAAATCTTCTCTATTAATAAATACTAATTTCCCAAGATTTTACACAACAATTAATGGAAGAAAACTCTGCCCAAAATGATGCTTGCATCAGATGAAAAGTACCCAGAAGCTGTCAAGATTAGGTACCTCCCAGTAGAAAGAAAACCAAAGATGCTTCTGATTATTCAACTCAACCCCTCTTTTTCTATTTTTCCCATTTTGTTTTGTTGAGGTGGAGGAAGGATATAAGAAGAAAAGACCATCCATACATTCTACTCTAGCATTGTAATTATAAGAGAATATTCAAGACTACCAATTTCCAAGAAGTTGGGAGGAGAAGAAGGATAGAGACATTTTTTAATTTTTATTTTATTTTTTTGAAAGGCAGATAGATACATAATAGGATAAGAACATAAGTGTTTTCTATACAAATTTGCAGTGCAGGTATAAACTCACCAGTTATTCATTGTGAAAGTTAGGTTTTTTATAATAGTAAAAGTTGTGAATTCCAGTCAATATAAGTTTAGGAAAAGATGCGTAGATGATCACATTTGGCAAAGTAATGTGAGAATACATTATTATATGATTTGGTAGGTGCTATATTTTAATCACAATCTATAAGTGCACTTAGTCTTCTGACTCAGATGAATACTCGAATCCAACTTAAGAATATGTCCCCTAATTTCTCTTCAATCTTGTCATACTTTCAGCCTATTTCCTTATCGGCCTCCAATGAAGCCCAATTTCTTCAATCTTAAATGTTCAAGCTCATCCAATTTCTTCATCTTAAATATTAAATTAAAAACCCAGGAACTTTTTTTTTAATCAATCAGGTAGTATATTAGATATTGGTAAGATAATATGATGAAAGAACGACAAATATATCAATTGAGGGCACAACTTTTTTTTGCTTTTAAGAACACCATCTTAAATTTAATTCTTTTTTTTGAAAAATTTTTGACAGATGCAAATTGCAATTAGGAAATTATATTGTTCTCCCAATTATATTTAATTATTGTTTAAAAAATTAAAATTTCTTAAGCAATTATATTGTCCTTCCATTATATTTAATTAGAGGATTATTTTAATAGAGTTTTTTAACATGTACTCTTATAATACCAATTAAAAATGTATTTATTATATTTTTCACTTTTAATTTACATAAAAAAATAAAAGTTGACTTTAGCTTATTAATCATCTAATTAAATTATTTCATATGACTATAGTATTGAAAATAAAATTTAATTTCGTAATTTTTCATATAAATTAATAATAAAAGATACAATAAATATACAATTAGGGCTAATTTACATCTTTAAAGTGTAATAAATATACTTTTGTGATAAATTTATATTAAAAAA